GAAAGCATTTCTTTCTTTTTTGGGTCACCCTGCCTCAGTGGGAGATGGCTGATATATTGAAAAAACAAACAAACCTGTACAGCAACCATATGTATGGTATAGTGCACATGGCATTTAATGTTGAGATGTTTACATTTTTTACGATATTTAGAATCACTTTGAAGATCATTTCATGCTCATGTCATTTTGTTTGCAACACAAAATATTTCATTATAGTAAATAATCAATTTTGAAACAATATATTGTTATATTTAGTCTCACAGCAAGATTTTCCTTCTCAGTATGAGGAGAAAAGTACAACCGACTCACCCCCAGTATTAGCTCTTCATGTGCTACATTCTTTGGTCAGCCATGCTCCTCTGGACCTATCACCTGATGTACCTTTAGCTAATACCTGCCAACATATTAACTGTATACATTTTCAACTTTTCACTCACTGATCATTGGGGTATTCTTGTTAACTAAAAGACTAATTTTTAATGTTACTTTACATTTTATATTTACTTTGCAGCTTCAGATGATTACATTTTAATTGTGTTTTCTTGTTTTAAAAATAAACAAGGGGACGCTAAACCTTTTGTGCCTGGGAGTTTAAAGTTCTATATTACATGCCAGATCAATTTCTAATAAACCTACCTTTTTCTAACTTAAGGTGTTATTAGATATTATCTATAATGCGGTTAACTTAAGAATATTTTGTCTTTTTCTTGGCATACAATTATGTATAATGTACACAAAATTTGAATAACATGCAGTATTACAAAATCCATTCTTTCCTTGTTAGTACATAGTGTCAAGGATTAAAGGAAGAATGACAGCTAATACCACTTGTGTTCAACCCTTCTCATTCCCTGCTATAGTTTAGATACTCCTGAGCTTATTTTCATATTAAATACTGTACCTGGTGGGAGACTTCTCTTTATATGTTGCATTGCAATTTACAGGAATGCAGCGCTGCAATTATATGCAGCTGCTGTGCCTAGGATGGTGGGTCAGAAGAAAGTTCGTGAAGATTCTTCCACTCTGAACAGTCTCACAGCTCCAGAGTTTCTGTTCCGACACCCAGTCCTTGCAGATTCCCTTCTTCATTTACTTTCAAATTCGGAGGATGCGAGAGAGATACATCAAAGTTTTTCACACGTTATGGACATGAAAATGAAAGAAAGAACTGGATGTAAAAATGAGCAATTGTCTATAAAAATTTCATCTAGTATAGTCCCAGTACTGAGTTTAGTGGCGAGACTTTCACCTGGAACTGAACTGCAGCAGAATAAAGAGCTTAATGACACACTCAGTAAATTCTGCCAGGTTACTAACAGACTACTGGGTTCACCTGTATACACCATACGCAGACTTTCTTCTCTTGCTATTGTGGCTCTTACTCCTGTTGAGCAGACCCACTTCTATATTAACAACATTCTTCATGTACTAAGAATCCCAGAGGTAGCTAGTACAAATATGATTCATGGTAACCTCTTTGCACTGAAAAGCTTTCTGCAAACATATCCTAAGCTCATATACGACCAGCACCTGAAGGATAATATTGTTGCTACTCTTAGTTGGCTCATGGAAGCAAACAATAAATGTCCCATTATTGATGCCCTAGTATTGAATATCTTTATTCTTCTGCAGGTGTCTATCACAGTAGACATGAAGCCTTTGGATCCATTTCAGCCAGGTATGGCAGAGTACTTGCAAAATTTCACCACTATAAAAATTGAACATAATTTTAAGGATACAGTTGAAAAGGTGTTGTTATCAGAGCATGAGTTAGAAGACCCTTGTATTGAGCATGTAATTGATAGTTTTAAGATCCACAGTGATAGTTCTTGGAGGTGCAAAATTGAAGCATTATTATGGCAAAGATTAGAAGATAAACTCATAATGCAACGAGCTTTGTTGCCAATTATGAAGCTGTTATGTGCCTTATTAGAATTTGATGATAGCCTGAATTGTGTTCCATCTGAAAAATGTATTAAAAAACTTTTAATATTGCTTCAGGGATGTTATGGGACAAAAGCTGCTTCATTGACTTTGGTTGTTATTGCTCACATATTTAACAAACTGCAAGATAATCAGTGGTTTGGAAATGAGGTAAAGAGTGATATGTTTTTTGCATTTTCCAAAACCATCAGTCTGTACTCAGAGCCAGCTTCCACAGATGATTACCGGTTGGCTGCAAGCAAGGCACTCAAGATATCAGTGAAAGGATTGCTTTACTTTCATGAAGATGTTGATTCAGCATATAAAGAGCTGTTAATTGTTGCATGCACTAAGCTCCTACAAGATGAAGATTCAAACATAAGAGATTCTGCATGTCAGATTGTGTTCTCATTCTTAGATAGTGACCATGCAAATGAAAGAAATATCTCAAAGCAAACATTACTAGACATGAAAAATTTCAGTTGGCAACCTCACTCAAAGGTTCTACTTCATCCAAACTTAGCTTTATTGGAATTTGCTAAAATTATTGTTAGAAGATGTGTTTGCACTAGTGACTGGTCAATGTTGAGGGTGATTTGGAAGATATGCTCTGGCCAGTATAATTGTAATTTTTCATTACTCTACATGTCTAAGTCTTCTCTGTTTGAGTCACACACTATGAACTCATATGAAGAGCCTAAGCAACTGAGTCAAACACTGGCCAAGGCAATGCTAGACACACTTGCAGAAGCTCCAGCAACAGTAATCCAAAACAGCATACCAAATTGGCTGCAGGAAGAGGGGGAAATTTTAAATAAAAATGGAGAAATCCTTGGTAAACTTGCTTCCCAGCAGACACAGTTGGCTACTCAAAAAAAACTCTTTACTGCCACTTCTATTCATATTATTGCTTTAGAGACACTCTTATCCTTAGGTAATATATTTAACATACCAGTTAATTTAAGCAGTCCCATCACCTGGAATTCATCATGTTTTTGTACTCTATTAGATATTCATAAAGAATACAAAGGTACAATACTGTAACTGAAACACTACATAAATAACCCACAGATTGCTTGTGTAGATATTCATAATTAATAATGAGAATGTATTTTGTGTACTTATGACCCCCAGATTATTATTACTATCAAAAAGAAGTGCTAAACACTAAGGTCATATTACCTCCAGAAAATTTGGGTACCTACTTTGACATATTTTTAATGTCCTTTTTATTCAGGAGATACTGAAGTGACAAATATATTTACATTTTTCAGAGTTTGTACTGGTGGACATTTGTATGATAATATATATTGTGTGAACTGAATACAATAAAACTTCTTTTTCTTTCTGTTCTTCCTAATCATAGTGTTGTATCATATCATGACGGCTTGTTACTCTCCAGTGTTAAGAACAAAATAAATAGTAAGCAAAATCTCAAATTTCAGTGACAACAATCAGCCAATTCAAGGTTTAGCAGCTTTTGTGAACACAATAATTCTATATTTATTGGTTTTGTAAACTCTTGATTGATTTCCATTAAAACATGGCTACCCCAAAGAAGAAAATTTTTCAAATGCCTTATAGTGTGATCCATTATTGCCTCCAAACCATAGCATCCCCACTCGACTATAAAATGTAGGTACAGTACTATACTTTCCACATTCAAAGCTCTAAGCCCAGCTATTTAGTTTCCCTAAATCCTTGTATAACTTTTACTGTATTCAACCTCCACCAGTGCGTAAAATTCCAAAGACCACTCTCCTCCACATTTATTCCACTTGTTTTATTTTTTAACACAATGGCCCATGGAGAATTATTATTATATTCATTGGGAGGTGCTCAAGTCCTAGGGGTCATAAAATGCCTGGAGGAATAGGAGGCATTCAGGTTTGATCCAGGAAAGTGAAGCACAAGTCCAATTCCTTAGATTCAAAAACCACTCGCCAGCATCAAGGGAACTTCCTTTAAGGGGATCAAGTGAAAGCATATGGGTCATCATGCACAACTCTTGGGGCAGCACTTGGTCAGTCTTTGCAGCCACAGCCACCATGTCATGGGAATCATTTTTAATATTAGGTGTCATACAGCATTTGGGGAATAGGAGATGATCAGATTTGATCCAAGAGGGTGCGTCGCTTCATTCATAAAAACGATTACTATCGACCAATGATCTTGAGCAACCTCCCTGCAGATGAAGATGATTGGGTAACACCAGAACCCTTCTATGTATACCAAGAAAATCATCGCCCCCAATTAGGGAGATATCTTGTATAGCATTCTACTGTTAAAATTATGCTACATTTACTATGGCGGGACACCACCTTGTAAGAAGCTAACGTGTCAAGTAATTCTTTACGAATTGTCCAGACAATTATCGCCTTCATTGTTGTTTAAATATTCGTTGTGCAATCGGAAAAAAAAAAAAAATTGCAACTTGTATAATTACTACCAATTCAGAGTCATGTACTTATATATCTGTTATATCTATGTGACTCTGATGGGTTAGTATTATACCCCTCAAGAATATTTTATTATTCCACATACACTTTTTAAATTGCACCAAAGTGGTTGGGCCACTTACCTTTTATATCCTACCTCTCTCCCCCCCTCCCACCGTTTTCCAATATTTCTATCCTTACCCATCCTTCTTTCTTACCCATCTTACCAAAGACTCTGGTCATAAGAAGAAGAGATTTGATCCAAGGAAGGAGAGAGCAGTTCTATTTCCTAGGATCAAAAGCCCTTTACTAGCATCAAGACAACACCCCCTTTCCATGAAGTGTCTACCATGTAGAACCCTGGTCACTGGCTTAAGGCACTAATAAAGACTGTATCTGCCCTTCAGATTACAGAGTAATTAATACTTATGAAAAATAAGTACAATTTAAAATACAGTACTGGATTTGTTTTAATCAATAAGGGACATTACAATATACCAATATGTAAATGATTTCTTTACTATCACCTTTTTTTTTTTTTAATAAAATTTAAGCTAAACAATAAATGATAATTGTTATTTTACACTCATAATATTTTTTTAATTAGAGAAAAGCGATAAACCCATAGAGGGTCATATAGCTCCTGTGGAATGGGAGACATTTAAGTTTGACCCAAGGTAAGGAAGGTGAAGTTCAGTTGTTTGGAACAAGAATCCTTCACTGGAATGAAGGCACCTCCCATTAGGGCTTCAGATTCACAAGAGCACCTTTATAATCATAAATAAGATTTATTTACTGGGTATATAAAAAATAATGTTTACACTAAGTGACAAATACAAATTTTATATATAAATTAGCTTTGCCACTTTAATACCGTACATAAACTGGTATTTTTATGAAGAAATAATTACAATTTTTCAGTAAATACATTCTTACTATAGTCTTTAATTATCATTCCTATTTTATAAATGCATCATTAAGAAAACTATAAAAATATATTTCTGAATGCCTTGTATGAGACAGTCATAGAAAATACTTATAATATTAACTTAAAATGCCAGAAGTAAGATTTCCAGCAAAAGATCAAGGGGTGAAGACTTGACAGTTTGTGTGTGGTCTGTCTGGTCTCCTGCTGTCTGCATGGTCTCCTGCTGTCTGCCTGGTCTCTTGCTGTCTGCCTGGTCTCTTGCTGTCTGCCTGGTCTTCTGCTGTCTGCCTGGTCTCCTACTGTCTGCCTGGTCTTCTGCTGTCTGCCTGGTCTCCTACTGTCTGCCTGGTCTCCTGCTGTTGCCTGGTCTCCCACTGTCTGCAACACCATCTATACTCCTAACAAAAGTGACTCTCTCAGACATTAAAACATGTCTTAAATTTCTACATTCCAAAGCCCCTTTCGGTCTTTGCAAATGTTAATACTTTACGGTAAAGAAATAAAAATATTTTATCTTTCATTATGAAATAAATGTACCTCATAGTCTATTTAGGCCTAGCAAAATATGATTGAGTGTGATGACATATTTAAACTATGTATTACATCAAATGATATGATTCTGATTGTAAGGCAAAAAAAGTCGAAACCCATTTCATCATGGGAAATACATAATATATCAGGTATCAAAAATGTATGGCACTATAATCTTCTCTAGCCCATCTCATTTATCAAATATTATCTACATTTGGAAAATATAAAAAGTAAGTGAACATTATTTCAATAAAATTAAAGATGCAACATTCAAAATAAAGCAGTTTTCATATTAAGAAATATTTAAAATATTTACCAACAGCCATAACAAAAATAAAAGAAAGATTAGTCATCGCTTGTTCAGTGATGACTGCATGACCACCGAGGCTTGCTGTACACATTTCAATGCCTCCTTCAAGGCCTGTGGATTGTTGACTTCTGTCACCTGTTGCATTGCTTGCTCAAGTGCCTTGAATAACTTAAAGCGGTCGGAGCTAAGTGTGTGAATGTCTTCCTGCATGTCAGGAACGTTCTGAATTTCCGTGATGTTTCCCAATTCACACTTAATATCTTGAGCAGAAATAACATGAGTAGCAATGTTGCCATCATCAGACGTATCTTGGATGAAGTGTAGGGTTAGATAACCATCTGATGTAAGAAAGACTTGCTTTTCATGTGAATGATCATCTGTAGTATCATCCAAAGTTCTTGTGGGTTCACTTCTAACAATAATTTTCTGTTCAGCCTCATGTCCTTGGGCCAGTACTTTAACATCTTTGTCCAGCCTGACCTGGCAAAACTTACTAGTTTGCATGTTACAAATAATATGTCGCAAAATAGTTCTTATATCTTTCAGAATGGGAAAAAAATACCTATTACCATTAGATACTTCCTCAAGCCTGAAATTTTCACGTGAAAACAAAGTCACTAATGATTTGATCGCCTTAGGTGATGTAATATTGTCTTCGGTTACTAATTTTGTAATATATCCCACTACTTCAGGATGCAACTGATTTACTCTATCCTCAACCATCTCATTCTGATGATTCTGATGGTGTCCTCCTCGACTAATAGTAACCACATATCGCTCCTCTCCCTCCACCTCACCATTCATTATTGCTTGCTTTAACATTCTAGCAAACTTCCCTTTTATCTTTTTACTTGTATCTGCTGCAACAGCAAAGTCTGGATATGCCTGAAAAAAAAAAAAATTTATACCAGTCTTATGATTATGACTCTTTTCAAGATGTTTTGTCTTTACGTACTGAATATTCTACTAACACCAGAGATATTAAAGTTTTGGGCCCAGAATACTAAGAGAATGCTTTCAGGCAAGCTATAAACATCTTTATTTTTCTTGACCTGTTAATAGTGGTTTAACCTGTAAACGGTCCAAGCAGATCTACGTTCACATGTGTAGTGCTACAAAAGTAGATCTAAGTTTTTTTTTACATATTTTCAAATATAACAAAAAAAAAAAAGTAGGTCAAAGTTTTTTTACACATTTTCAAATGTAGAAAAACAAAAAGAAGATCTACTTTTTTTACATACTTTCAAATGTTGAAAAAAAGTATATATATACGTTTGGACTGTTTACGGGTTAAGATAAAGATTTTATTTCTTTGCAAAGGTTAAATGAGCATATGAAAAATATGGTCCATCACAGAACAGACAAGTTAAAAAAGGTAGGCTGGGACATTTGTGGAAAGAAGTTCATCAATGGAAGCAAAAGAAAAAAAAATGGAGAATGTACAAGTGCCTACACTTTGAAGGATGGATGGAAATAATGTAATGCAAAGGGTCAACTGAACTGTAATGCCTGAGGAATTCTGGCAAGAGCCATTGAATGACTAATGGTGAATGTGTTTCCTTCTTTGTGTCATACTATGTTGGTGGAACAGGCCTGTATGTAGAACAAATATCAGGAAATAAGATTTGTTGTCCTCTTTCCCTCTCTTGTTAAATTGTTTACTAGGTGTAGGCTGGCTTCTAACCTACATATCTTAGTTAGGTAGTGGCAAAATTTGCAGTTGTATGTATTAAATGTTGTCCAGTTTTCATTTCAATTTTATGGGCATTTTCTACCTTGTCCCAGTCCCAGTATTACAATTTATTCTTCACTGTCTTACCTTGACTGTTCTAATGCTCATCTTTGCAGGACAATCACTCTTGATAGTGCGATATGGTTTTCTCTTCTTCTTTGGTGGGTCCATTGGCTCTTGGCTGTCTATTACATCCTCCTTTATGCTTTCATTCTTTCTCTGAAAATATTACATTACAGATTCAGACGACAAATACTCGTTTAGCACAAATTTCTTAAGACTTGATTTGTTAAACGTCCAGAATTCCAAAATATTCTCAGCATGATGAAATTTGGAAAAATTCAATTTTCGTGCACCAGGCAGGTGGGCTCCTGGCTCCTGGCAGTGGATAATGACTTCTTAAGGCTTGCAAATTCACAAAACAGCCCCAAGCTCTACTTAAAACAGCAGATAAGGGAAAGTGGTTGACACCAAATACTATGTAAACCTTCGCAGAAAGTGGATTTCCTTACAGGTTCCATGAACCACTATTAGGAAACCTACTACTAATACCTCAGATCATGGCAGACAGAACTGAAGATCTTAAGGAGGATGCAATCAGACAGGAAACTCTCACATACAACCCTGGGAATTTATACAATTAAAATACCATATGGACACTAGTGTGGATGCCAGTAGAGGGTCTTTTATATAGGCAATGGCAAAGCTTTGCATCTTGATATAGGGACTATCTTAGCTCATCTCCATTTAGTCAGAAAACTTCTGATCACTGCAGGCATATTCAATGCACAAAGAGCAGGTGTAACAAAAGAAGCATCCATATTTATGCTCATGTTGGTTCGTCAGGATTTACAACATCATTTGGTCTAAACCTGGTGGCTCTCCGAACATTCACCTTGGTGTGTTACTCCCTATAATTATACTGGTATGGGCTAAAACATACATATGACTAAAACATTATGTCAGAATGGTTACTAATTACTAATTCTGACCTTTGGGCTGAGTTAGATTGCATGAGCATCAGTGCAAAATGTTCTGATGCCCAGAAAGACAATGGCAGTAGCCAATAGGTAGAAATAGACTGACAACAAAGAATCTTCTCAATATAACATGTTGCCCAAAGTTGGGTCTTGGGCAAAAATTTGCATTAAAAGGATTCTCTGCTACTGTCGTCTATTTCCTTTACAATGCTCAGCCAATAATAACATCAATGGAAATGTGTCAGAAAATCCTCAAATTGCTCTGTACATATAATAATAATAATAAAAATATGCCAGGAATTCTGCCCAAAATAAGAGAGCCTTTATGATTACGAAAAACTAGCTCATAGGTGAGTTTTTTACGGTTTCATTGCTGTGTACTGAAATTCTTCTTAGGGTTGTCAGCTGCCTCCTCCATTTTTTTGGGGGTACTGGTGGTTGGATTCTTCTAGTGGTTCATGGAATCTGAACACAGAATACATATACCATTTAGAAATGTGAAAAAAAAAAAAATCATATTTTATATTGTTTCCATGACACAGGCTGTACCTTCTGAGAAAATAAATATAAAATTTGTACAAATCCTCTCCATGGGGAAATGGAAGAGAATTCTTCTTCCGTAAGCAATGTATGTTGTAAGAGGCGACTAAAATGCTGGGAGAAAGGGGCTAGTGACTCCTTCTCCTGTATACGTTACTAAATTTGAAATAAGACACTTGTTTTTCTTTTTAGGTCACCCTGCCTCGGTGGGATATGACTGGTTTGTTGAAAAAGAAAAAAATGCAAATCCTACCTTCCAATAAGCTCTCCCTCGACGACAATCCTTATTAACTAACTTGTTTATAACAAAGGGTGCATAGTCATTGAGGCAGACACCATAGGGAGGTGCACCCTGAAGCTTGGGAAGAACCCAGTGAATGCTGTCCTTCTTGTCATCTGCCAACATACAAAAACATGAAATCAATAAGTCTATATTAAAACAACTTTATGACTTATGTGTTAGGTCAAGTCACTGGAACTGAAAGTACAGTACAGATCCTCCAGAAACTTGTTCTGGAGGACCTAGCTGCATAGAAAATTCTGTTTTAGTTTAAATAATAATAATATTATTATTATTATAATCAAAACCAAGTGCTATACCCACTAAGGTCATACAGCACTCTAGTTTAAATAATAAATAACAAATACACAAAGAGAAGCATTAAAATTAAATAAATTTCTTTAGGAGCTTGTTTCCCCACCACCAAAGTAAGGTGTTGTGGTGTGCTATATTGAGAAGTATAGTGTATAGTATATCCTTATGCAAATGACATACTAGAATGGAGCAATAGTTCTTAACAATATACAGAAGTTTTTTCACTGTACATACTTTATATATACAGGTGCTCCTCGGCTTACGATGGTTCAACTTACAATATTTTGACTTTATGATGGTGCAAAAAACTACTTTGGATAAGAAATTTAAGATAATTACCCAGTGTAAAGGCAGTAAGTCCATAACTTGTATTCATTCATTTAATTTTCAATACTAGTATTTAGTTAGTTACAGTAATTATTTATTTATTTACTTATTCATGACAGTAGTTATTTATTTACTTATTTATCGTATCACATTCACATTCAACTTACAATATTTTTGCCTTATGATGGGTTTGTTGGAACATAACTCCATCATAAGTCAAGGAGCACCTGTACTAGAATGGAACCATAGTTCTTAGCAGTATACATTGTACGTATTTTATATATATATAAATTTCCCAGATTTCACGATCTGTTTTATAAAGAAGAATATCTTATTTAGATTACTAACCCAGAGGGTTAGCGGCCTACAATAACTCACAAAAGCTAATCAGTTTGGCTCACGTCTACTGGGTCCTTTGATTCTCTTCCCATGGACATGATCCACAATAGTTGGTTAACACCCAGGTACGTACATACTCTTAGGTGTGCATGGGGTATACGGGCAATTAAACATGCCCAATGTTTACAGTTGTCCTAGGTTCAAACCCTAGGTAGCAGTAAACCCTCAATTTAATGGACTTTAGAAATGTGGGAGAAAATTCAGTGGGTCGACAGATTCAGAAACATGTAAGTAAAAGGTTTGTTAGTAAGTCACTCTGTCTGACTTTGTTGGGTTATCCTAGGTTCTCTACACATATGCTGCTATGTATGATAATCTATGTAACTGTATTTGTGTATACCTGAATAAACTTACTTAATAGCTACAGAACTGTTTTTTTTGTGTTATGATCAGAGCAAAGCACTCTCATCAACATCCACCACAATCACCATTACCAGCCACCTGCTCCTCTTTATTAGTCTACTAAACGGAGGGTTGTTAAGTAAAAGGACACAGATGCAACATGATCATTTTTCGTGATAACGTTTCGCTCCAGGAGCTTTGTCAAGCCTTCACTAGGTCCCCCCCCCCATGAAGCAACCAACTCCTTGGCATTTATTTATCCACTGTAGACGACATGGACAGATTCATAGATTCACTTATAGATATCTTTGTTCCCAAAATTAGACATAATTAGAAGACTGGATCTAAATAGATTACTACGACAATAGGGTCCTTTTTAGTTACCTATGGGTACCGTCCCGCCCATATTTAACATAACAGAGAACTAATTTTTTGGCAAACAGCTAAAAAAAAAAAAAGTTACAAAAAACATTGAGTATTACAATGTTTTTCAACATTTCGAGTGGAAAACCAGAAATTATATTGGAAGAGATGGTCCCTGAGGTCCTTGAGTTCTGCCACACTGTACACCTCCCCCACCACCTTCTCCTCGTCCATATGGATCACACGCAGCTTATTAAGAACAATTTCATCGTATCTTCTGAGTCTTGCTTCCATGATGGTGCCATATACATGTATACATATATATAATTTTCTCAGGATAATTATTAAGCCATTCTCAGGGTAAGTTGTTGTTGTTGTTGTTGGTGTTAAAAAGGGCCACCAAGGTTTACGTCTTATTGAGCCCTGCCTGCAGCGACTCCGGGAAAAATAACTATTAAGTAAGTAAGTTTATTCAGGTATACACAAATACAGTTACATAGAATTATCATACATAGCAGCATATGTGTAGAGAACCTAGGATAACCCAAAAAAGTCAGACAGAGTGACTTATTTCCATTGGGGTCCTTTTACCTTATTATTATAATATATAAAGGTTATAATATTTTCTTATTATTCTACAATGAAGATAACATCTTATTATCATACTAAAAAGACTATCTACTACACGAGGGTCATTAAGACTATCTACAATACGAGGGTCATTACTAGGAATAACTACAAAATTTATTCCGACATGTACAAGGTATACAGACATAGCTGACATCAATGAAATACTACTATATAAGAAGCCCCTTGTTATGCAAAGCATTTAGGGTAAATTAGGTCGGTTGTGTCCCAGGATGCGACCCACACCAGTCGACTAACACTCAGGTACCCATTTTACTGATGGGTGAACATAGACAACCGGTGTAAGGAAACACGTTCGTTGTTTCTACCCCTTCGCCGGGAATCGAACCCGACCTCACCGTGTGAAGCAAGAGCTTTTGCCACCAGGCCGCGGGGCACCGTGGCCTGGTGGCAAATGCCGTTCTTAATTTGGTCAGGTGGGCCTCTTTGCCGAAACCAAGGCATCATTGGTATGGTAGCAACCACACCACCATTACTATGGTAGCAACAACGTCAGCCTTGTAATGGTAGCAACCACGCCAGAATTGCTATAGCAGCAACCACGCCACCATTGCTATAGTATCAACCATGCTACCATTGCTATAGTCGCAGCCACACCTACAATGCTATGGTAGCAACCACACCAGCATTGGTATAGTAGCAACCACGCCATCATTGTTATGATAGCAACCTTGCCAACATTGTAATGGTACCAACCACGCCATCACTCGTATAGTCGCAACTACGCCAGCATTGCTATAGTAGCAACCACGCCAACAATCTACAGTAGCAACTACGCCAGCAGTTTCTAATGCGCAAAAGGATTAGAGTGTCAGTGATCAGCTCAAGGTTTGTATATTTTGGAAGATAAGACTTGAACCTTCTAATCATGAGCCATCAGGACCATCGACTAATGAAAATAGTGTGTGAAGAGAGTGTTAAGATGGACTAGCTGGTTGTGTGTTGTGTGCTAGATTGCATGGTCGTTTTTTGTAATGTTCTAAAGCTCACAAGCCAGTGTCCGTGGTTCAGTCTGAGTGTCCGTGGTTCAGTCTGAGTGTCCGTGGTTCAGTCCCCGTCTTGGGTGACAACGTGGCCGGACAGATGACTGATGGACACTTGGCCGACAGACATTTCACCGACAAACATTTGGCCAAACGGACATTTCACCCTCCGGGTTAATAATCCGAACAAATCTTATCTTAGTTACTCGGTCGAGTAGCTAAGATAAGATTCACTCGCTATGGGTTTGTACCCATGGCGAGTGAATCTTAAAACGCACCGGTCTGAGTTTTAAGCCTCACTCGCCATGGATACACCCCCCCCCAACCTCGTTCCGTGATTTGTTTATAGTCGTGTTATTGCGATATCGTGAATCATGATAGCTCTTAAAAAGTGTAAGTTATTTAGCGTAATTAAGGTGGAGGCTCGATTCTCCGTCTCCCAGTCAGAGTCTGGTCTCTGGCTGACCAGGCTGTTGGTGGTTCGATGAGATGTGTTGTGTTGCTGGTGCTGGCAGAAGTTCTGCTTCAAAATGTGAATATTAATTCCTTAAATAGTGATTAAGGTTGAGTGGGAACGTATGTCTGCCGAGAAATATGCATCTCTGTATTTATACCTAGTGAAAGAGATGCAGATCTCCTAGTATATCCACTGAGTCATATGCACCTTTCAGCGTATAGACATTGAGAAATATACACCTCTAAGTTTGTGTCCACTGAAAGATACATATCTTTCAGGCTTCAGCATATATCCAATGAGACATATACACCTATCAGCGTATATGCTCTGAAAGAATACCCCTCTTAACGTATATACCCTGAGAGACATACACCTCTCGGTGTATATACTCTGAGAGATATGCACCTTTCGGTGTATATATCCTAAGAAACATACACCTCTTGGTGTACGTACACTCGTGCTTTCCGCTGCTCCCGATAAAAATTCAACACCACTTAATAAGACGTGACAGTAGGACCTCCACTGGAGAAAGACGAAACAATTACCACTGATGACCTCTAGGTGTGCCACCCTTCAAGGACGGTAGCTTTAGGCGAAATTCTCTTCGCCTGAAGGGAATTAAAGCTACCCTTCCCGATGACAAGTTTTTGTGAATTCTCTCAGATTGACTTCCAGGAGCATGGCAAGGTTAATGAATTAGCTTAACAAGCATTAAATAAAGAGAATGTTGAGTATAATTTTTTTTTTAAGTTTTCGAAAAATTGTCAGAAAGGAACAAGCAAATGAGGTTGAGGAGAAAACAGTAGATACGAAATAACAGATCCATTATCCATCATAATGAAATGTGTCAAGTTAAACATATTTGTGTGTTGTTACTGCTAGGTTAAGGCTGGGCTATAGATATGTCAGGCAGTATGATTTGGATGAAGATGTAAATGACATGGTTAGGTTAGGTTAGGTAAGGTTCGTCAGGAAACAGGACAAATGTTTCCTGACGCGGGTCTTAGTCAGATGATGACCCGCCTTTGGAGATTTTTGGTCATCTGACCGAGGCCTTCCGCTGGCTTACCGGTCCACCCCCTTTAAAAATTATGTTCATTTATAACCATTGTTTTTTTTTTTTTTTAAATGACATGAAATGCAGTGTGTGGACAGAGAGAGGGTTATACACTGGAACATTATGCAAAAAGATCGTAGTAAATAAGTGATATTACAATATGCAGAACAACCACTGTGAAAAGAATATTGAATTTCCAAAAGCTTTGTGATTTCTCACATTATCAAGGAACTTTAAAAATAAAAGATCAACATAAAGGCACATAAGGACGAGATTACATCTCGTCCTTATATACATGGAGGTGTCTCCAACCTTTCAAGGGACACCTCCACATAAACCTTACACTATATGGCAGAAGACCTCATTGTTAATTATAAGATATCTGAAATATTAAGGGTGTATTCATATTTTCCATCGACTAGATGCTCGTGTTTTTATAGAGGAGATTGGAACCCCGCTATGCCCAATATTTTTTTAGTGGTAACAAAATATAATATTTTTGAGGTTGTATTCCATATTGTATTGTTTACATAAACTATCTGAAGTAATTGTAAAATAGGAAATGACTGATAATTCTTTCTAGTGATATAACAAGACACAATGGGGGTCAGTAATCCTGTTTTTAGCGCTATTGCTCACAGGGTGAGCACGGGATGCACAATAAACTAGCCCAGGCGACACAATTAAGCTAACCTTCCCTTCTATGGCTCAGATAAAAGTACCTCTCATATTTTCCAGGGATTCAGCGTATATTATTATTATAATAAAAAAGAAGCGCTAAACCACAAGGGCTATACAGCGCTGCAGGGCAGGAAGGAAGCGAGGGCATCAGGTGGCAAAAGGGAGATGGATGAGTAATAGGTTACGGAGAATATAAAGTATACCTCTCCGTGTACAGCAGTGAACTGGTACCAGGTGAGGCGTACCTGAGGATCTGGCACTGTGACAAACTGCCTCGGTAATCTCGCTATAACTCCAGACATCTCTCCCTCTCCTACATTACTCAGTGGGTCCACATCTACAACAACTGTGCCCCATGGCTTGTATTATACATTCTGAAGCTTTCATTATCACTGATCTTATTGAAATTATTATTATTATTATTATAGCACCTTATAATAATAATTATTATTAGTAGTAATTTTATTATATTTTTATTAGTTGGTTAACTGGGTTTAAAGACTATCGACTACACGAGGGACATGAAGACTGTTCACCAAGTCAAGAATACTTTAATACCTAAAATACGTATTAAAGTTTATTTTCATAATCAGGGAGGAGCATTTAGGCCCCATTCAGGGAAAGGAAAATGGGTCCAGTTCCTTGGATCAAGAGCTCTTTGAGGAAAATAATGGTTAAATCAAACTGAGAAAAATATATAAAAATTTATTCCCTGCATATCAGAAAACTTAAATCACAGGTTTTAAAAAGAATTTAAGGCCAATTTAAAAGCCATTAAATTTTAAAAAGGCAGAGACATTTAACCCAGCGCCGCTCAGGCATTTTCAAAGGCCAGCGTCTTTGATAATTATTAAGGCGTGTTAAATTATTTTGTCTGATAGTGAACCACGATGTATTAACTCCGCAGAGTTCTACAAGGTAAAGTTTGAGGCGGTAGGGGATATTAAATTATGAACCCGTGTACGCCAGTCAGCTCAAGTGGCAGTGGAGGCTCGATACTCCGTCTGCTGAGTGCCAGGCAGAAATACTATTATTGCAGTTAAGGAATATAAGTCAGCCTTGCTGAGTCAGTCGAGTTACACGACTTCATGAAGAATTAGACACATGTACAACATCTGGGTATCTTTATTTGTAGACGTTTCGCCATCCAGTGACTTTATCAATACAAGGGCAATATATGAAGAATATAGAACTATATACACGACTTCATATAATATACTTCATTAATTAATTCATGAGGGAGGGGGAGGAACGCTAAACTCGCAGGGACATCACACAGTACCCAAGGAAATAGTAGGCAGACAAGCTTGATCCAAGGAAGGGAAAGTGGTGTCTAATTCATGGAAGACTTTCACAAGAGTCAAGTAACCTACCATGAGGAACACTCCTTGAAGCCTTTAAAGCATCCGTCACATAACATAATGTGATATTTAAGGTATTTCTAACACATCAAGAAATAATCACATTATGTGATGGTTTGTTGATTTGCTGTTCCAAGGCTATCTTCTACGGCATAGTTATGAAGGATGTATATCATTTGTATATCTGTGAGTGTGTGTCTATGTATGTGTGTGTATAAATGTATATGTAAGTGTTCATATGTGTATTTGTACGTATAATGTGTGTATGTGTATGTATATATGTGTATGTGTATGATACTACAGTCAAGAATGTTTTAACAGGGAGTACAGTAAACTTTTAATTAATATACCTAATATAGAAAGCTGTTATCTAACTCATGTGTATAGTAGTTCCATTTTTATTTCAGTAGGCTCGTCATAGCTGTGTTTTGTGCATCATCTGTGTAGTTGACTTTATTTGTAAATATTTTTATGTCTGAGATTCTGTAGATGCGAGAGAGACTTTTATTCAACACGTTGATGAAAAGTATCAAGTGAATGACACAAAAAACGATTAATAATGAACGTTTATTTACAATACAAACATTCATACCAAGTATACAGCCATGTGTACTCAGTACACATAGTGTATAGAAAAAGTTATCTTCCAGACATAGTGGTCAATACTTTGTTACTTGGGAAAACAAACACAAATACAGCCTAATGCGATCATTTACTGACTACTTTTCGCCCCCACAGTGGGCTTAATCAAGTCACAAACAGCTCTGTTTGTGACTGGATAACGCCCACTGTGTGGGCGAAACATAGCCAATAAAGGACTTCATTACATTTGTGGCTATTTTTCCACTGTGACGGTATTTTATACCATTTATCTCCACTTCGTTCCTTGTTCACACCCTCCCACACCTCATCACATACACATAAAGACACATAGAAGCCTCAGATATATTTTCTAAACTGAGTTAACACTTGACATCATATGGAGCAATGGAGGTGCAAAGATATCGAAACACTGATGTGAGAACATGAGATTAAAAGTAAAGATTAACATTTTTATTTTCACTTTCGTTGTACATACAACGGATATCACTAATCATGTAACGTAATATTTCTATGAACACAAAAACAGTCACCATTAAGAGAGGTGCGTGTGTATCACGTTTCATGGACCGCCTGAACCAAAACTAAGCTACTTATGATCAAATTCTCAGACGAAATTAAGTCTGAGAACGATATATGTGCAACATTTAGGTATATCTTTATTGTGTCGTCTGACTCGTCAGTAAAGATACTTAGAGTAAGTGTAGCACATGTGTCTTACTCATCAACTTGTCGGTATTGTATACCGACTCGAACCTATACAATGAGATCAAAAACTAGCAGGTCAGTGCTGTAGCTATCAGACCTGCGAGGTATAGTGGCTGGAGCACTGACCTGCTAGTTTCAGGACGGGCTTGCCATAGTTAAAGTCCTGCTCATTCCTTGAATTGTAAGTAGTCTAATGAAATATATTATGAGACAACAATATTTGCTGCGGAAGTTCCATGACCCATCATATAAAGAACATATAAATGCAGCTTCACCCAATATTCCGTCTTGAAATATGACATTCTCTCTTGAATTATAATATCCAGTCTCGAGACATAAAATTCAGTTTTAAGACATAATATTCCTTCTTGAAATTAAAGACTACGACTGTTTACTCTGCAAAGTCCTTCAATGAAGAATTAAACACAATTATTGTAACGATGCAAAGTTCCTGCTTTTTGCAAGGCAGAATAATTAACATTGATTGTAATTGTTAGTTTCAAGACAGTTTTCAGGCTGACCCATTAAGTATACTTCGAGACGTGCCAAAGATCAGAGTCACCATTATATATATATATATATATATAATATATATATATATATATATATATATATATATATATATATATATATAATGTCGTGCCGAATATGTAAAACTGGTCAATTAGCAAGAACTCATTTAAAATTAAGTCCTTTCTAAAATTTTCTCTTATACGTTTAAAGATATATTTTTTTCATTAATGATAATGTAAAAATTTTTAATTTTGTACCAAAAGAATCTTAGAAAACTTACCTAACTTTATTATAAGAAGAACAATTTATTTTAGCCTAACCCAACTAAATACATTTTAGATTTGTTTACAATAATTTAATACTAAATAAACACAGTGAAATATATTTTTTTCGTTAGGTTCAGAATGATTTTGGCGAAATTATTGCATACACAAATTTTCACTTGTCCTATATGGCAAGATGAGCGTTGCTATTTAAGCCAAGATGGCAAGTTCTGCCTATTCGGCACGATATATATATATATAGGTTTTCACACAAACATTCCAGTTGTGTTGTTTACCAGTGAGATGGACAATAATATTTGGTGTGTACCCTCGCCATCAAAGGGTGGGTGTGTAGGGGACCTTCATTCCCGGCTAAGGACTCTTTATCCCAGGAATTGGAGTTATCCTTCCTCGTTTTTTTTTGATCGGGTATAAAGACACGTATTGAATAGTTTTATATCACACTACGCTTCTCTCAGGAGTTAGCTTTATAATAACAATAATGAGAGAAGATAATATTATACAGGTCAGCAGTGATGGTGACCCATCTATAAGTATGCTGACATCGCAGTTTTTTTTTTTAAGTTCAGAGATTAACACCCTGACTATATGCAGTCATATATAGTACTGTACTCGCCTATATGTGCTTGCAGGGGTCGATTCACAGCTCCTGGCCCCAGCCTCTTCGATGATCGCTATTAGGTCCACTCTCTGGACTTATGTACACGTAACTATTTACTTGTAAGAGATTAAATCTTACTGGGAAGAACACAAGACAGGTCAGGGTTTGAAAGGTTAGGTTAGGTAAGGTTCGTCAGGAACAGGACAAGTGTTTCCTGACGCGGGTCTTAGATGATGACCCGCCGTTGGAGCTTTTGGTCATCTGACCGAGGCCTTCCGCTGGCTTACCCTTCCACCCCTTTAAAAATTATGGTAATATTAGGGAATGAAAGCCTACCTGTGTAGCAGTCTGTAACATGTGACATGAAGCAAGTTCTCTCATAGTGACATTATTTATGAAAAAGGTGTGAATTGAAAAATATATAAAACAGTGATGTTATAGAGTGAAAGATCTGAATACTCACAACTTCATTATGAATATAAATGGCGGTAGATGTAAACAATGTTCTTACGACAATAATAACGGGTATTTTTATAATGTGTGGATTTTTTATACCATTTTTAAAAACTTTAAGTTATTTTACACTTATTCTTTGGTGTATTATACAAACATAAACATCTGCGTTAATTGTGGACAAAACAGTATCGTCAAAAAACCATCTACAACTGCTATATATTCCTAGAGGAAAATTGGAAAAAATTGAACGATTCAATATATTTCAGCAATTTTTTAGTGACATTATCTTAATGGTGGAATATAGCATTTACATAACTCACAAATATTTATTTAGTACACTTGTTTTAGAAATATTTATCTAAGTTAGCAAAGTTTTCCTTGACACATGAAAGTGGAATTTCCAAATGAAACCTAAAAAAGTCTAGTATACAAAAATAAATTTTTAGGTCAGCATTATTTTATTGCTGTAATTTCCCTTATGATAAAAAATGTTAGTCTCGACATCCTGTTACATTTTCGTAAGAGAAATAATACAATGATTACATAATATTTTTTAACTGGTAGTAGCTAGGTAGGTATAATGTTTGTCAGGAAACAGGACAAGTGTTTCCTGAGGGGGTGGGTCATATGACCCACAGCTAGAGCTTTTGGTCATCTGATCGAGGCCTTCCACTGGCTTACCCCTCCACTCCATTAAAAATTATGGTTTCATGGTGGCTTGTAGGAGCTTCAGGAATTAATGGCACCTAGCCATAAACACTCATAATAATTTTTGCAGCCTACTCTTATTAATTTAATTTAATTTGCAAGTCCATTACATTTTTTGCTACTTTCTACTTGTTACTTGCAACAAAATGCGAAATTGATTTCCTCTTTTTATATGGCGTGAATATTTTTGAACGTTCCCTTAAAGTGAGAACTACTCAAGACAGCAATATAAAACACGGATAAGAGAGATGTGAATTATTCATGGAAGAGCTTGAATGATGAGTGTAAGGAGAACAAGTGTGGTGGAGGAGGATGGTATGGAGCACCATGATCCACCACTGCTAGTCTGCATCACCGCCATGGCTGAAACAACAGTGTTCAATATTAGGGAGTAGCAACCAATATACGTAGTATAACCACAGGGAGAGTATGAATGATAGCTCTAGGCCTTTCATTTTGCAATCAACACATCTTCAGGAGCTTGCAAAGTTGTGTAATGAGTAGGAAGTCCATGTAGATTCCCCTGAACGAATCTACCTAGACCTCCTGCTCATTTCTGCAACATTGCAGGCTCTTGAGGATGTAGTGTTTGCAACACGAAAAGCCTAGAGCTATCATTCAACTCCCCCTGCAGTACATTTTGTATCGCTTGTTACCGATTATTGCATAATACTATAAACATATTATGTTTGCAGTATGCATGATAACGTATGTGTGTGTTTCAACACTCGCCTTTCTTGGTGGAGAAGGTGAAGTGGGGCGACTGGGCTGACCAACCATACTTGTTCCTCACTCTGACGACGGCCACGTAGTCCGTGGCCACCTGCAGCCCCGTCAGGGTGAGGGCCAGGTGGTGTCTCCTGGCTTCCTTCACCTCTCTCACTCTCTCAAGCTCTACCTTCCTCGAGACAGTCTCCCAGGAGCCTGCCATCACCATGCTGTGGTTGTTCTGCAGGGAAAAACATGATTACTGTATGGCTGTTCTGTGGGATCAGCCATGATTATTATGGCTATTCTGAGGGATCAACTATGATCACTGGCTGTTCTGTGGGATCAACCATTATTACTGCGGCTGTTGTTACCAGCCATAATTAGTGTGATTGTTGGGTGTTGCTAACCATGATTACTATGGCTGTTCTATGGGATCAGCCATGATTAGTGTGGCTGTTCTGTGGAACCAGTGATGAGCAGTGTGTGAATATGGGACCGGTCATGATTTTTGTGATCGTTGTGTAGGATCAACCATGTTTACTGTTTATTGTTGTTGGACCAACTACAGTAAGTTTATTTAAGGTAGAAGTACACATAAGTACAACTATCATACCTAGTAATATATGTGTAAATTACCTAGGATAACCAAGAAAAGTCAGACAAAATGAGTTATTAGTAATAAGACTGTTGTGCGGGTACACTCAGAACGTATGTGGATCAAAATTATGCTCAGTATCTCAGAATGGAGACAAAATTACCTAGTGTTTATACGTAGCTCGGCTGGTAGCGCACTCAGCTCACACACTGAGATCCATGGTTCGACTTCCGTTACGGGTGGAAACATTTGGGCATGTTTCCTGAAGACACCTACTGTCCCTTTTCACCTAGAAGTAGGTACCTGGGTGTTAGTCGACTGGTGTGGGTTGCATCCTGGGGATAAAATTAGCCTAAGTTTGCCCAAATGCTCTGCATAACAAGGGGCTTTCTATATATCAGTATGTCACTGATGTCAGCTAGGTCTACCTGGAGGGCATTCCGGGGATCAACGTCCCCGCGGCCCGGTCCACGATCAGACCTCCTGGTGGATCAGGGCCTGATCAACGAGGCTGTTACTGCTGGCCGCACGTACTCCAACGTACGAATCACAGCCCGGCTGATCCGGCACTGACTTTACGTATCTGTACAGCTCCCTCTTGAAGACAACCAGAGGTCTATTGGTAATGCCCCTTATGCCTGGTGGGAGGCTGTTGAAGTCTTGGCCCCCGGATACTTATTGTGTTTTCTCTTAGTGTACCAGACCTGTATAAGTTGTATCATATACTAGTAGAAATAGAGATTATTATTATTACTACTACTACTTCTTAGTGCTGGGTAGGTTGTAATACGGCGTTCAATGTAGCGACTCTATAAACCCTCAACAACGAGTCCAAGTGTTTTTGCGCCAAGAATTCGTGTTGTGTCTGGATTTTCTCCTTGAAAACCGTGGATAACTTTTGTTTATTACCTTTAGCTGCCCTGGCACCCATTTGGTGTATGAGGCTAGAGTTTGTATTGCCCTTCCTGCCCAGTTGATGATACTGTGAGGAGGGTTCAGTTGTAATTAGAAGAAAACTGTAATGACATCGTGATTTCTACTGTAACTTACACCACTCAAAGGTTCCTTGATGCTGGTGACGGGTTCTTGATCCAAGGTGTGGAAAATACTGTATATATTTTCCGTAAATACGGTAATTTATAGGTAAATAGATGGCCTATATTGTATTTAATAAAAATTATATGGAAAATGGGAAACTGAGCCTGCGCCTGCGCAGAAGAGGACTCGCCATCTTGGTTTTGAATTGGATACAACGTTAATATAATGGGAAGAATTTTTCGTGCTCTAGAGGTTAAAATTGGATTGGCACCTCTCAAATAGGAGGCGAAATTGTTGGATGTGCATTCCTGCATAACTTGAGATATCAGACGACTGGACAAGACTGCTCCAGGAACCTCAGATAAGCTCTCTAGATTTGTGTATAATTCTGGCCAGTGTTTTCATAAATTTAGTTAATGAGGTTTTTCTGAGTATGATACAACTTAATATCCAGTCAAATTGGTAAGTGATATTAAGATATATTTTCCTTCTGTTATGTATATGTGAATTTATATATAATCATTTTTTAATATACAGTCCACAAATTTATATATTTACCAGTATTCCTGGTGTATGTATATTTCATTTAATTAATAGGTCCAGAGCAACTTGTGGTTATGACAGTGGTAGGTATCGAAGGGGGACATTTTTTGCGACCTAGGTGTCCCAAATTCCTACTTGTCTATGTAACATTGATAAATAATAATTATCTTTGTTATCATTTACTGTTATGTACATAATTAGTTACATTCAGATAAATGCAATTTTCCACATAAGGAGCATGGGGAGAGCTAAACCCTATGGGGTTAGCTCTCCCCATGAATGTAATATTAATGATACTATAATACAAGGACAGTACTGGAAATAAGTCACTGACTTTTTTGGGGTTAACTTTGGTAATTTACAAATGGTATTGTATGATAATTATACTTTTGTGTGCCTGTACCTAAACAAACTAACATCATCCGGGTAGGGGAGTAGCCTGGAGGTTTACCTGGAGAGAGTTCCGGGGGTCAACGCCCCCGCGGCCCGGTCTGTGACCAGGCCTCGTGGTGGATCAGCCCCTGATCAACCAGGCTGTTGCTGCTGGCTGCACGCAAACCAACGTACGAGCCACAGCCCGGCTGATCAGGAACTGACTTTAGGTGCTTGTCCAGTGCCAGCTTGAAGACTGCCAGGGGTCTGTTGGTAATCCCCCTTATGTATGCTGGGAGGCAGTTGAACAGTCTCGGGCCCCTGACACTTATTGTATGGTCTCTTAACGTGCTAGAGACACCCCTGCTTTTCATTGGGGGGATGTTGCATCGTCTGCCAAGTCTTTTGCTTTCGTAGTGAGTGATTTTCGTGTGCAAGTTCGGTACTAGTCCCTCTTGGATTTTCCAGGTGTATATAATCATGTATCTCTCCCTCCTGCGTTCCAGGGAATACAGGTTTAGGAACCTCAAGCGCTCCCAGTAATTGAGGTGTTTTATCTCCGTTATGCGCGCCGTGAAGGTTCTCTGTACATTTTCTAGGTCAGCAATTTCACCTGCCTTGAAAGGTGCTGTTAGTGTGCAGCAATATTCCAGCCTAGATAGAACAAGTGACCTGAAGAGTGTCATCATGGGCTTGGCCTCCCTAGTTTTGAAGGTTCTTATTATCCATCCTGTCATTTTTCTAGCAGATGCGATTGATACAATGTTATGGTCCTTGAAGGTGAGATCTTCCGACGTGATCACTCCCAGGTCTTTGACGTTGGTATTTCGCTCTATTTTGTGGCCAGAATTTGTTTTGTACTCTGATGAAGATTTAATTTCCTCGTGTTTACCATATCTGAGTAATTGACATTTCTCATCGTTGAACTTCATATTGTTTTCTGCAGCCCACTGAAAGATTTGGTTGATGTCCGCCTGGAGCCTTGCAGTGTCTGCAATGGAAGACACTGTCATGCAGATTCGGGTGTCATCTGCAAAGGAAGACACGGTGCTGTGACTGACATCCTTGTCTATGTCAGATATGAGGATGAGGAACAAGATGGGAGCGAGTACTGTGCCTTGTGGAACAGAGCTTTTCACCGTAGCTGCCTCGGACTTTACTCTGTTGACTACTACTCTCTGTGTTCTGTTAGTGAGGAAATTATAGATCCATCGACCGACTTTTCCTGTTATTCCTTTAGCACGCATTTTGTGCGCTATTACGCCATGGTCACACTTGTCGAAGGCTTTTGCAAAGTCTGTATATATTACATCTGCATTCTTTTTGTCTTCTAGTGCATCTAGAACCTTGTCGTAGTGATCCAGTAGTTGAGACAGACAGGAGCGACCTGTTCTAAACCCATGTTGCCCTGGGTTGTGTAACTGATGGGTTTCTAGATGGGTGGTGATCTTGCTTCTTAGGACCCTTTCAAAGATTTTTATGATATGGGATGTTAGTGCTATCGGTCTGTAGTTCTTTGCTGTTGCTTTACTGCCCCCTTTGTGGAGTGGGGCTATGTCTGTTGTTTTTAGTAACTGTGGGACGACCCCCGTGTCCATGCTCCCTCTCCATAGGATGGAAAAGGCTCGTGATAGGGGCTTCTTGCAGTTCTTGATGAACACGGAGTTCCATGAGTCTGGCCCTGGGGCAGAGTGCATGGGCATGTCATTTATCGCCTGTTCGAAGTCATTTGGCGTCAGGATAACATCGGATAGGCTTGTGTTAACCAAATTCTGTGGCTCTCCCATAAAAAATTAATTTTGATCTTCGACTCTCAGTCTGGTTAGCGGCTTGCTAAAAACTGAGTCATATTGGGACTTGAGTAGCTCACTCATTTCCTTGCTGTCATCTGTGTAGGACCCATCTTGTTTAAGTAGGGGCCCAATACTGGACGTTGTTCTCGACTTTGATTTGGCATAGGAGAAGAAATACTTTGGGTTTCTTTCGATTTCATTTATGGCTTTTAGTTCTTCCCGCGATTCCTGACTCCTATAAGATTCCTTTAGCTTAAGTTCGATGCTTGCTATTTCTCTGACCAGTGTCTCCCTACTCATTTCAGATATATTGACCTCTTTTAGCCGCTCTGTTATTCTTTTCCGTCGCCTGTAAAGGGAGCGCCTGTCTCTTTCTATTTTACATCTACTCCTCCTTTTTCTTAGAGGAATAAGCCTTGTGCATACATCGAGTGCCACCAAGTTAATCTGTTCTAGGCATAAGTTGGTGTCTGTGTTGCTTAGTATATCTTCCCAGCTTATATCGGTTAGGACTTGGTTTACTTGGTCCCACTTTATGTTTTTGTTATTGAAGTTGAATTTGGTGAATGCTCCCTCATGACTAATCTCATTATGTCGGTCTGGGGCTCCGCGCATACATGTCTGAACCTCAATTATGTTGTGATCTGAGTATATTGTTTTTGATATGGTGACATTTCTTATCAGATCATCATTGTTAGTGAAGATGAGGACTAGTGTATTCTCCAGTCTAGTAGGCTCTATTATTTGCTGGTTTAAATTGAATTTTGTGCAGAGATTTAAAAGCTCGTGTGAGTGTGAGTTTTCATCAGAGCTGCCTCCTGGTGTTATTTCTGCAACAATATTATTTGCTATATTCCTCCATTTTAGGTGCCTTAAGTTGAAATCCCCCAGGAGCAA